CGGGGTTACCTAATACTTTAAGAGGACATGATTCAATTTGGGTGATTGTTGATAGGCTTACGAAGTCGACTCATTTTATTCCTATTAACATCAATTTTTAAGTATCAAAGTTGGCAGAGATTTAAACTAGTGTAATTGTGAAGTTGCATGGTGTTCCTATGTGCATTGTGTCAGATAGAGATCCGAGATTTAATTCTGATTTTTGGAAGAGTTTGCAAGAAGCGTTGGGTTCTAAGTTGAGGTTGAGTTTGGTGTATCATCCTCCGACGGATGGTCAGACAGAAAGGACTATTCAATCGTTGGAGGATTTATTGAGAGCATGTGTTCTTGAGCAGGGAGGTTCGTGGGATACTTATCTTCCGTTGATAGAGTTCACTTTTCTAGTATTGGGATGGCACCTTTTGAGGTGTTGTATGGTCAGAGATGTAGAACTCCTTTGTGTTGGCATGAATCTGGAGAAAGTGTAGTGCTTGGACCTGAACTTGTTCATGAGACTACTGAGAAGGTGAAGTTGATTCGAGAAAAGATGAAAGCTTCCCAAAGTAGACAGAAGAGCTATCATGACAAGCGAAGGAAAGACTTAAAATTTCAAGCATGTGATCATGTGTTTTTGAGAGTTACACATGTAACTGGTGTTGGGCGAGCATTAAAGTCTAAGAAGCTCACTTCTCATTTTATTGGTTTGTATTAGATTTCGGAAAGAGTTGGGAATGTTGCTTATAGAGTGGCTTTACCGCCTAATCATTTGAATTTGCATGATGTTTTTCATGTGTCACAACTCCGGAAGCATATTTCAGATCTATCTCATGTGATTCATATGGATGATGTGCAAATACGAGATAATCTTACTATGGAGATGATGCTTGTACGAATCACGGATCGTGAAATGAAGACTCTAAGAGGCAAGGAGATTGCTTTGGTGAAAGTAGTTTGGCTAGGAGCTGCCGGGGAGAGCATGACTTGGGATTTGAAAAGCAAGACGCGGGGCTCCTATCCTGAGTTATTTGAATGAGGTAAATTTTCGAGGACGAAAATATTCTAAGTGGGGGAGAGTTGTAACGCCCGTAATTTAATTTAATTATTTATTTAATTAAATTATTTTTGGATTATTTGTGAAGTTGTGAGATGTTAAGAATTATGGGTATGGATTGTTGGATTATTATTAATTAATTAATTAGTTGATTAATAATAATTATAATGTTGGAATTAAGGGAATATTTATATAATGTTGGACTTATGCTATTTGTTGCAAGTAGTAAAGTGGGGGTGTAGGTTAGGCCCAATAGGATTGATATATAAGGCTAAGCTGACTCAAGAAATTTTTTTAGTTGGTGTTTAAGAAGCTCTGTATGTTGACCGGAAGGGCCGTGCGGAAGAGGAGCAAGCTGCCCGGTGTCAAGTAGAGCAAAGCAAGGATTCCGGCTGGAGCTTTGGTTGAGCGACCTTCAATCCAGGTAAGGATGGGGTTCTAACCTTATAATGGGACTTATGATGTGTATTATGTGAGAATTGATCATTTTATGATTGTTGCGCGTTGATGCTTTTGATCTGCTAGTGAAGTTGCTCGTTTGTTAATGTTGTGGCCGTTAGGGAGTATTGTATGATCGTTTAATGAACATGTTATATGAAGTTGTCCAATTGTGTGTTGTGGATGTTTTGTGTATCTGTGTGATTTCCGGTTTAATCGATGGATAGGTTAGTACAGTGATTACTGGTCGTGATGGTCGTTAGGTTATTCCGAGCGATTGGTAGGAAAAGTAGTAAGTTATTAAAGTGGTCGTTTTATGGAGGTTTCAACGCGACTGTCTTATATGATTGATGAACATGTTATAGGAAATATAGTTGCCAGTTACTGTGTTATTCCGAGCGATTACTCGAAAGTTATGAATGGTAGTGGTGTGGTCTTTAAGACGTAGTAGCGTGTCTATATTGTTGGCCGAACTAGTGGTCGAGGAGGATGCTGATGGTGTTAGGTACCGAGCGACATATTAGGTTGTGAGGCATGTCGGGGGGTATGTGGTGGATTGTCGAGCAGTACTAGGTTGCAGGACATGTCGAGGAGCATAAGTGGGTCGTTATCCTGTTCTCCCATGTGTGTGTCGAGGAGTATGGATTAGTTGTTAGGCTGTCCTAGTTGTTATGCATATCGAGGGGCACGTAGTTCCCTATCCCTTTTTGCATGTACATGATGTGTTTTGGCCGTTAACCGTGCTATACGAGTTATGATTAAGTTGCTATTTGATTATGACAATGATTGAATCGTTGATTGATGTGATAGGCTTATGGCTAATGTCGTTTTAGGTTGAGTTATTATGTTGTTGTGATTGTTGTTGTGAATTCTTGTTGATAATGCAAAGTTGCGGGGAGTTTTAAATGATGATGAATTGCCTCTATTTACTAGTAATAATGGTGATGTGGGCTTATTCCTTGTGAAGGATGATGATTGTTGTGAGTATGTGACAATGCACTCATATACATTTGCATACTTTGTGATGGCCTGGATTGACAAACTACGAAGAAGGATTATGCCTTGTTGATGCTCTATTTATTGACAGATTTTTATGATGGGAGTTTTGCTCCATTGATACCACATGCATTTGCATAAAGATGAGTTGCATTCTGCGTTGCATTTCGAGTTGTTGTGTGATTGATTTTAATTGCGTTTATGTTGCTAAAGATCTGAGAAGTGGTGAATATGTATGAATTGATTCTCATGTTTTACTTATCACGCGTTCTATTATAATATTCGATATCTCACCCCTTCTGTTTGAATGTTACCCCGATGTTGGTAACGTACAGGTAATCCAGAGTGAAGGTGGTTTATCTTCAGTAGTTCGAGTCGGCGTCATTGCTCTGATACGTAACACTCAGGGGCATGAATGCTTGCTGTTTATTTGTTGTTATCATTTCAGTTGATTGAACTTTAAGTTGTTGTTCATTAAATGATTGTTATTTGAAGTTGTCTTAGTTGGACAAAGATGTTATATTCGTTTAAGTTGAATATTATGACTCTGGTGCGTGGTTATGAAAGATTGTTGTTTCTTTTTAAGATAGAATTATGTTTGCTGTTGGTTCATCCAAGTTTAATGTGTTATGTATCGATAATGAATGTTGTTGTTTTAAGTTGAATTTGTGGCATCCTGATTCAGTTGTAGAATTTTTATAACTCTAATTTATTTTTATATTGTCGGTTAGAATTGAGGTATTACATATCACATCATTGAGGTGAAAATCATGTCTGAAAAGAACATTGATAACTTATTTTACATTTCCTGAATGTCTATGTCACCTTCTGAATCACTTTGGCCATTCAAGTTGATTATGAGACAATTTCTGATCATTGTCTCATACGCAATGACAATTAATAAATTCCAAGGTTAATCACTTGATAGTGTCGGATTGTATTTGTCTATTTCTATTTTTAGTCATGGTCAATTATATGTTGCAATTTCAAGAATTAAGAGTAAAAGTGATTTGAAAATCTTAATGCATGACAATGACAATGCATCGTGTTCAACTATTATAAATATTGTGTACAAGGAGGTGTTCCAAACACTTTGTTAATTCGTAAACGAGTTTTATCTTTTCTTTTACTATTCAATTTAAATATCCATCTTTTATTTATATGTATATGTATACTACAAACTTTATTGTGTTTTTTGTATTTTTTAATAAACAATATATTTTTTCATGCAGTCGTAGGATGACAAAAATTGTTATTACCCGATTGTTAGAATGATGAAGTTCAAGGATTTATGGTTTACTTAGGAGATCATTTTCAAAATATTGACATGTTTCCTTATCAAGTTTGTAATAACTATACTATTAAAAGTTCTAGCCGTATTAACTTTGTTTTTTAATATACTAGTTAGATAAAGGAGTAATTTGTGGTGAATTATATTAGTTTATGTTTGAATTATATTTAACTGTTAACTATTCGAAAATGTTAATTTAAAGCTGATAAATGATTATAAACAATATTTTAAAAATTGGATCGGAAATTGAATCGGTGAAACTTTTGATATAAAATTTAATTGGTTCAATTGGTTAAACTCATGGTCAAACTGTCTTAATAATATGAAACTAAATTTCCTAAATATGTAACATATAATCATATGTGCATAAATTAATAAAAAAGATATTTTTAAAAATCGATTACAACCCTAATACAACAATAGCGATAATATATACAATAACACAACATAGTTATATACTTCGTTTCAACGTTCGTTTAAGAATAGTTTGAACAAATTAAACTAATTCAAACCAAGATTAAAATAATAGAATATAATAACTAAAATAAAGTTCAAATAATTAAAAATACCTAAATTAAATAAGATAGAATATCAAAAATAAAAAAATACAATATTTTAAGTTTAGATATTGACGTATTAAAAAATAATTTTTAAATATTTTTTTTTTAAAAAATAATTATTTTTGCCAATTCGATGCATTTTTTTGAACTAGACAGTATTATAAAATTGGTTCGGGTTCTTTGGTTCAATTGGTATTGGACAAATCAATCCGATTTTAACTCACATGCGATTTTAAAAGATTGACTCAATCGAATTCATCTCTGATTTTCGGTCCAACCAGTTGAACCGACCAATTTGATTTAATTTTTAAAACATTGATTATAAATTGTAAATGTGAATGTTAATTAACTGATTAAATGAAAACAAACTATCACAAAGAAAATTGAAAGACATATAATATGAATTCAGGCGTATCTCATGTTATTTACTATTGGTTTTAGATTAAAAAGAAGAGAGAAAATAATATATAAAGAATTGAAAACTATTAATAATGACTTGGTAGTATTATCATTCAGAAGACTTACTAATATTAACCTTATTTATAAAGATAAATAAACTCAATTGTAAGTTAAGAACAAATAATTATAAGAAATACCATAAGATATTCTAAAATTATAAAGTCATCATAAAAAATTAAAAATTAGCTTAAAATACTCAAATATAATATTAACACATCCTAAACAATCAAACTTGGTAAATCAATGATTTTTCCTCTTCATCTTTAATGGTGTTAATCATAAGAGCCACTTGGTTCATACTTGGCCTAGCCTCTAATGAACTATTAACACATCTTATAGCCACTTGAAGCATATTAACCATCCTCTCTTCACTTGCATACTCTGCCAACAAACACCTATCAAACACTTCACCTGTCCATTCTTCTCTTACAACTGATTGAACCCAATCAGTCAAATCAATACCATTACTCTTCACCAATTTTCCAGTAAGAAGCTCAAGAAGAATAACACCAAAACCATAAACATCTTCCTTGAATGCAAAAGTTGAAGTTTGTTGGCCATCCTTAGGCATAGTACCATACTCACTTATACAAGGCTCCATGTTTTTGTTTATCAAAATGTTTGAGGATTTCATGTTTCCATGAATGATACCTTGTTGGCCAAGCTCTTGGTGCATGAAAGCTAATGCTTCTGCTATTGTTGATGCAATTCCAAGTCTGCTGCTCCAATCAAAGGTTTTTTTTGAAGTTCCTGAAAGCATATCTTGCACTTTAGCTAGCTCATATTAAGAAAATGTTAGCATATATAAAAACAAAAAAAAATGAAGATTTAACCCCTAAGGTTGGTATGTTGGTGAAGGTTTGGGTTCTCATGATTTCAAGTTTGAATCTTGTTTGGTGCTAATATTCTTTATGTTGGGTCAATCTACACAGAGCTTTGTTTCAGTTTTAAATGGATCTCTACTAGAGGACAGTGAGATTATTCTCTCTAGATTGGTCTATTGGTGAAGGTTTGAGTCGTGAGAGTGTACTCTTCTCAAGGTTTTAAGCTTGAATCATGCTATGTCCTAACAATTCTTATGTTGGATCACTCTACCTAAAACTTTGTTCTGGTTTTAAACGGGTCCCAGCTAGTGAACAGTGAGATCGGTCTCTTTGCATTGGCTTGTTGGTGAAGGTTTGAGTACCGAGAGTGTACTTTTCTCAAATTTTCAGGTTTGAATCCTATTATATGCTAACAATCTTTATGTTAGATCCGTTCATACAAAGTTTTGTTCTGATTTTAAATGGATACCCTGCTAGTGGACGGTGAGTTTGGTCCCCTGAATTAGTCGGTTTCAAGGATATCAAGTTTAAAAAAATAAATAAATAAGATTTTAGTATATAAAATTTACCATGTAAAAGCTTGAACAAACTTCCATTATGCTGATATTCATAGACCAAAAGCTTCTCTTGTTTGTTACAATAGAAAGCAAGAGGTGGAAGAACATGAGAATGTTTTGCTTGATTCAATAGTTGCATTCTTTGCTTGAATTCATCACTAGAAATACTCCAATCTTTAATCCTTTTTACAACAACTACTACGCCATTTGTTAGCATCACTTTATAAAGACTTCCATTGGTTCCTCTCCCAATCATTTCAGCAGGTGCTCTCAACAACTCCTCCAATTTCAATTCACTCACCACTGGCTTTGAAAGAACAACAAGTGATTGCTGTGAGACCATTCCACATTCAGAGGAAATTGAAAATCCTGATTTGCTTACATCTTCTGCTTTGGATTCACTCGAAACATAGCTCGGTTTTTCGATATCATTGTTCGACAATGCTTCAGCTTTCTTTCCACTCTTCTTGCTTCTACAGATCTTTAAGACTACAAAAAGAATTATGATAACACCTAATGCAGCATAGCCTGAATATATTAAAATCTGTTCTTTGGAAGGAGCTTTTGATTCTTCTTCTGATGTTTTACTAACACTACTACTCAGAATCTGACTAGTACAATTTTTTTGTAGTGGATATCCACATAGTTCTGGATTACCAAGAAAACTGTCTGCAAAGAAATGGCCTTGTACATCTGGTATTTGGCCACTGAAATTGTTAAAAGAGACATTGAAATGGTCAAAATTGGGGAAATAAAAAGTCGGGATATTTCCGCTGAGGTTATTGTTTTGTGCTAGGAACATATTGAGGCCTGAGATTCTAGCCAGGTTTGGCAACAGTCCCGAAAACTTGTTATTAGAAAGGTCTAGTCTTTTCAAATTGTTCAACATTGCAAGTGAAGCAGGAAGGTTACCGGCGAGCTGGTTTCCACTTACGTGAAGGCGAGTGAGTTGTTTGCAGTTCACGATCTCGGATGCTATTCCGCCGCTGATTTTGTTGTCGTCAAGACTTAGAAAGGTGAGAGATGCAGCTAGAGGCGGCACGTTACAAAGCAAGGCAACATCAAGAGTTCCAGATAAATTGAACCTGTAAAGATTCAACCTCTTTATAGACATTCGAGCATCACAGTATACACCATTCCAGTGATCCTTGCAGGGATCAGTGTCTGGTTTCCAATTCAAAGTAGAATTGTTATTCTGCTGGCCTTTGAGCTGTGTCAGGAACTGTATTAATGTTGTCTTCACCACATCATTCTCACAACTAATCATGTTTAGGAGGTAAATGGGTATCACCAAGAAGACAAACAAAATATTGGAGGTTGTTTTCATTTTCATTTTAGAAGAATGAGCTTTGTGTTTTTTTGACAGAAATGGAACTAGTCCTATTGGCTGATATTACAATGACAACTTGATTTATAATCCTAAAGCCGTCCTGCTAAAACTAATAGTATTTGACAAATATAGGCCGGCAGATGGAATTAGTAATGTCATCACCCTCTCAATTTCATTCATTTGGCCAGCATGTTGACATCATGATTTACTAATGCTAAGCCAAGATATTAAAATCGCCAATGATTTAGACAATAGTTGGAAGACTTTCGAAAGAGTAATTTATTATAGAAAATTAATCTGATTTTGTTTGTTTGATAATAACACCTGAAGGGTTGGATGAGTCTATTCTCTTTTCAAAGCACTGCAAAAATTCTGATTTATTTAGACAAACAAAAAATCCGTTCTCTAAATAAACTCTTCAACTCAACAAGTTGATTTCAACTTCCACAATATTGTTTTATAAATACAAAATCCGCAGTGTAATATTAATACAAAACAACAAGTAGGTACATGAAATGCTAAGCAATACATCTATGAACATTGTACGAAAACTATAATTATGTCAAACTACGTCCTTTCACAAGAGCACGATGAATGAGGGGCTGAGGGTCCTTTCACGAGATCTTTGCCATTTTGCCTTCAACTAAAAGGTGAAGAGTTAGCAGTAATGCAGCATAGATTAAAACAGTAACAGTAACAGTGCAATTCACGTTAGTTTTCTTGCCTATCAAGCCCACCATCCTCTGTGCAACAAACTTTTCTACTTAATGTATAAGGCACTCCCATAGCCGAAAGGATATTCTGGCCTACCGAAATTAAAACCAGTCAGCTTCGTAAAATCACATAATTGACACTTGCAAAATCAAGTAAGGGATTTTCCAGCCCATTCTCGTTCCCGTCTCTTTTGTTTGGCTTGCATCTTATTGAACTTCTCTTTCCCCTTTTCCAAAAGAGGATCAAGCACAACATAATCATTTGGATCCTCGGTGCGAGCCATGCGGTCCTGCATATATGTAGGAAAAGTTTTAAGACAGTAGAAAAAGAATAACTGTGTTTGATCTGTAAAGACAACTCCATGCAAAAGGGACTCATGTTGCTTTGTTATTGTAGAAAAGAACTAAAATGGTGGTTAGAGTTCAGAAGCGAATTATTTCAAAATATGAAATTAATGTGTCTCAACACATGAGCCTGCAGATTTCAACAATATTCTGTATTTAAAACTCAAAAGATAGGTAAGCCGCACGGATGTTGATGGAAAATAAAATGATTTCATATCAACGAATGGAAAGAGGAAACTAACCTTGCCAGTTGTGGGGGAAAATTTTAAGCTAACACTTCGCCAGTCAGATAATTCCTCACCACTAGCATGTTTAGATTCAACAGTTGTGGGTATCTCCTTTGCTGATTTGGTAGTTTTAAATTTTTCAAGTTTTGCCAAAACCTGAGAATAGAGATACAAAGAGAATAACGTTACGAAAAAATAATGCCTGAAAGCACCTATATATGTCCAAAAAAGGCCCACAAATGATTATAAATTAAAAACTTCAAACAAAGCATAAACATCATAAGAACGACTTCAGGTTTATACTCATTGCTACTACTCCCACCCTACTGGTCTCCTTTGACATAAGAAAATTTTAAAAGAACACCACTTCCAAATAGTTAGCTGATTGTAATAATATTAGTAATTATTCTTTCTGTTGTTATTCTTTCTTCTTATATTTTGACTGACTTTCATAGTTACTAAGTGATAGCCTAGGCTGATTGGTTAGAACCTAAATTTTTGGGATCACGATGTTGTTCTCTTGTATATACGTTTGTAAAATTCTTCGAAAATAATGCAAGAAATATTCAGATTCCATTCAAATTGATATTTTCTATGAGTCCCTGTCGACATAACGAAGCTCCAAAGATTGCTCCTATTATTTATTTTCATGTTTCAGCTCTCACTTAAATTCCTTCTTCCACTACAGTCCACCAGAAATTTCAGCTAACTTACCTATTTAACTCTAATCTATAAAGGTAAACATTGTAATTCCCAATCCTCGTGCCATTAACATTTCCTAGGAGTTACCTTTATTATATGCTACCATTTGTAATAATGTTTAGAAAGCAGTACCCCATCCAGAATGACAAAGGTAATGACTGATGAGATGATCACTATGGAATCCGATCATAAATTGACCATTGTTCCAACTCCTCTTAGGATTGAAGTAGATCAATCAAAGACTGGTTTCAATATTTTTCAAAAAAATATCTGTCCTTGATACTTTGGAAGAGGCAAGGATCTTGTTGATATTCACGTGAGCCCAAGTGTAAAACTTCTACTTTATCATATGGAACCTTATCATAATGCAAGATGATATAGAAGATTAGTTTGGAAGTTAAATTATAATTATCTCAATATAACTAGACTAAGTTAGTTGGGCAGCAGATATAGAAGATTGGCCTAGTAGATTAGTATCCATTCTTTCTTCCTGGTATTGTTTCCTCTTATTTCTTGATAACAAATTTATTATAAATTGTCTATAGGCTGATTGATTTGATCCCGAAATTCAGGAATGTGGATATCTTTTCTCTTGTATATATACTTGTACCATTCTTTGTAAACAAAACAAGAAATGTTCAGATTCAATTCAAGTCAGTAAAACACAACAATTATGTCGCTGACACGCAGTAATATGCCCTCTCAAAATTCAACTAGCTTGGTCATTTCTTTTTTTAATTAATAAACTTAAAGCCATGGGAAATTGTCCATGGGAAATGCCATGGAACATTGATTTGGTATATCAACATAAATTCAACTAGCTTGGTCATTTCTTTTTTAATTAATAAATTTAAAGCCAGCTACTCTTCCATGTCATTTCAAATTATCAGTCTAGTTACTATGCCCTGTTGATCATATGTCTAGATAGTCAAGAACATTCTAGCACTTCAGATGGCAGAAAGGAAACAATGGGAATAAGAAAACAGAGCAAAAAGTATAAATAAATAAATAAAAATCACAACATACTTCATCTTCACGCCCTTGAAGTCTGCGTTTTTTCTGCTTCTGCAAATGTCTTCCTCTCTCGACATCATTCAAAAGCTGCATATCTGTATCTGCATTAGCCATTCGTTCAGCTCTTGCTTCAGATCCTATTCCCTTTTTCTTCATGGACAACTTTTCCACTTTTGGTTGATCCTCCTCATCAGCACTAACAGAATTGGACCTGGCAAGAAGTTATTCAACCATTTACCAAATCGATCAGAAACCAATAAGATAATAGTAAGACTCCTAAACAAGTTTACATATGTAGGACATCCAATAGATATCATAAACTCCATATTTGAAAAATTATTATACAACTATTATATCTATATTCTATAAGCAAACTTTACATTTGATAAGCCCAACTAGAAGCCATTTTAAAACATTTCAATTGGCAGATAATCCTTCTCTAAATAAATAATGCTAGATAGTGGCAACTTCCAAGTGCCAGACTGGAACAGTTACCACCAGACTGAATTGGATTTCTAAGGTTATGCACCAAGAATTGGAAATCTCCGACAATTTTAAGGAGAAATATCAACTGTCAGTGATTTTATATGCAAAAAAACATCCAACATTTATTGAAAAATCTTTATTGATTCTGTAAATTTTGGAGAATGAACTACAAGAACATTTTAATCTTTAGGAATTATTAACCTTGTATAAGATTAAGGACATGCAAAGTTCCCTGTTTGAACTTGACGTGACATTCATCCAAGTAAAGCCATTTAAAAGTTGCTTTAACTTTGTGTCCTACATGGCCACAAGTTCAACTAGTTCTGTCCCCCACCATGCCCATAGAGAAATAAAGAGATAATCATACAATTTAAAAGCCCTAAGTTTGCTTAATGCCAAAAGTTAAACCATCGCCATTCAAATGTTGGTACATTAACTCTTTTGAGGCTACTGCTAACAGATATTCATGTTCTAAATGTTGAAACTATTACCTAGCTCTTGACATAGTAGGTTTCTCTGGACTGGACCTCGACCTTCCTGCATATGAAAATGATAAGATGTTGAGCTTCTCAATACTATAATGCTTTTGAATAAGAAAAATATAAAAAGGAATGAGATATTATCTATTTAAAGAAATTCGTTACAACTGGGAGGTTTGATGATTACAGCATTCACAATATTCACATTCCACATCTAGAGATAAGACAAAAATAGTCCTTATAAAATTTAGACAATCTGCACCCCTCAATCTACGTATTGGGTTTGGATTAGACCTAGTCCAAATTTGCTGTCAAACAACCACTCAGTGCCTCAGTTTATAGCTCAAATTCCTCTGTAAATATTTTTAATTTTATTCCTACTTCTTTCTTTCCATATGTACAGAATTTACATCTGCATATAAATAACAATGTTCCCACACATAATTTCACTTTATTGTCTGTGTGGCACAATAGACATGGAAACCCCAACACTACGTACTTTTTGATGCACTGAAGTGAAGCAATATAGTATCTCAATTTCCCAATGAAAGAAGTGGGTTTTGTGTAAAATGTTGTATGGGAAAGTCCCACTGAATCCCTCTTCTACTATTTACCCAAAACCACTTGACATTAATGTTCTATGACCTATGGGGATTAGTCTAATAGTGGCCCAAAGGGCCTAAGCTGGTAGGGATACCCTACTGGAGGATAAAGGCCCTAACTACGGTTAATTAGCAAAAAATTAAATAAACTGATGTTTAATTTTATCTTATCAAATCATAATCATCAATCACGCTTTTCCATAGAGTTCCAGATTCACTTTCTTTTGTTGGCTCATGTTTTTCCATATTGTAAGAAAGGCATTCATCCCTTGCTTTCAGTGAACAGCAATACAGTTACTTCTGTATTCTGTGTACTCGGATCTACCAGATTGATAAATTAAACTGCTTACCTAATCTCATTAACAGTAA